AAGAGGGCATATGAGTGGGTTGGACATTGTAGGCAAATGGATACTGAGTACTATGAGCATAAGGGTTGTAGGGAACCTGCATTCCTAAAGATATTTTTGGGTTTTGAGGCTGATTGGGTGGATAATACCTACCTTGGTCAGGTTGGATATGAAAGGGTTGAGGTTGACATAATGGTGCTCTTTCCTGTGGAACGTTTTGGAAGCTCATATGCTGGGAGTGTGGGGTGTAATGGTGTTGTGTTTGGGATGTGTACAATGAAGCAGGGTTGGTGTAATTTAGTGGTGGATTCATATTATATTGAACATAACTACTTTGGGGGTCACTGCTCGGCACAATTGTATTTTGGAAGCTCATGTTACTGGTGTTGGTCACATTTGGGTAGTTAGGGATAGGGGATTGACAATATTGGATTTGGGAGTTGACAAAATTATCACTAGTTGTTTGCAAACTAGAATTAAGAGTTGTGGCTGGTACAGAACTTTGCAGTGAAATAGTAGTTTTCAATGGAACAGTACCTGAAAGGGAAAACATTGGGAGATGGTTGACGTTGTCGAGTATTTGCGGAACTGTGAACATTTAAGGGAGGAGGAGATGGAATCATCAAATCCCCAATTACAAGTGGGGTACCCGTCGGAGAGTATAGCTCACTACCACTAGGAGTTAGATCTTTATCCCTTTCAGATCTTTTACCTCCATGAACAACGTCTTGAAGCTCTCGCAGAGCTAATTCCTGAGCTCGGATGGCGTGTCCCTGCCTCGCCTCAACTTGCTCCTGCATGTGACTGAAATGGGTTATATTAGCCGATATTTTGTGCAGGACATTAATCACCTCAGACATCTTGGCGGCCATGAATTCCACAGAGCCAAGAGCTTGCTCTGATACCACTGTTACGATAATTGGAATCTGAGAGAGAATTGAGCTACATCTAAGAAGAGAATAACAAGAAGCTAGGGTTAGCTAAGATAAATTTTATTTATAGTCCAATTAAGATAATTACAAAGGGTCTTATGCACCCGCTACTGGACAAAACATCAGGGACTATTCTACGTAATAAATATAACTACTAAGGGACTAAAGAGTATTCACTAGAATGCTTAGTTCTATTAACTAACTTAACGACTAGTACCATCTTCAAAGCAGCTGGTACTAATCTTTACACTCTTCTTCGATAATCTTCTTATCACGTTATCAATTCGTTGGAGACATAATTAACCAAAAACTCAAGAACAATGAGTCTTATAAAATTGAGGAAAACGCCAAGATTCTACGACCAGACCGAGAAGACGAAGCAAATGGATAAAGCAAAAGCTTATCTTGAACAAATCCAGGGAGAATCGGACCGGGTTTCGTCTCTTGCATTTCATCCTCACCGGCTCGGCACAGACTATAGCTTCTATGAGTATTATGCGCTCAGACGCATCCGAGTTGACCGAGTTGAACCGGGTCAAGTTTTTTGCACCTTCAAAGTTCCTCCTCGTCTCACTGTAAGACATTCCCCAATTTACCCTTTTGTTTCCTCTGTCTCTGTTATGTGCTTCTCATTTTCAAAGTTTAAATTTTAATTAGTATAATAAATCAGAGTTCTTGAATATTGTGATAATTTTATAGAAATGTATATTATGGAAAGAAATGGTTGAAGAAAGTATTCAAGTTATAGTTGGTTTGAAGATTAAAGGAATTATTGAAAAGTTAGTTGATAAGGAAGCACTACATAAAAGTTTAGAATTTGAATAGTTTAATGAATTCGACTTCTTGACTTTTGTGATAATTGTTTAGAAATATAATGGTGACAAACATTTTAGCACATACAAAAATGGTAAGAGTATCATATAGATTGAGTGCAAGCTGGTTCACACAACATCCTTATCCCGAAGAAGAAAAAAAAGCATCATATAAATTGTGGCCGAGTACGTGTTTCATTATCTGTTTGTGATGCAACTGTATGTAGATGAAGGGTTTTGAAATTAAATTGACTTTTTCCTTCTTTTTTAACTGCATTGTTGCTTGGAAATTGAAGTTTGTTTTCTATGTAAATTTGTAGGATAGAGAAGGGAAACTAGCATCAGGCGCCATCGCGAATCTAGTTGACGAAGTTGGTGGTGCTGTAGTCTTTGTGGAGGGTCTCCCAAGGAATGTATCTGTAGACATGTCAATTTCACTTCTTTCAAGTGCGAAGGCCGATGTAAGCCCTCCTCATTCTTCCTATCCTTCTAGGATTTCGTTATTGGTTTATGAATTTTGTCAAGAAAGAAATGAAATGCTAAAGAGGAAGATAGACTGGTTCTGCATTCATCATGCGCAAGTCATGCGAATACAGTGCTGAATAACAAAAATCCGTCAGCTATATGCTTATTATGGCTGCTAATAAACTAGCTGATCAGGGTCCTCTCTTTCAACTTCAGGAACTAGCGCAAATATAGATAATAATACTTCATTTAAACAACCAACGACTCTTTGAACGTTCACAATTCATCTAATAGTTCTTGAGCTGGGTCTTGTTGCTTGTTTTTTTTTTGTATTCGGTATTCAAACCCTAAAGTGATTTGACATGTTTGATGTTCTCTAAAGGAAAAAACACTTCATACCCGGAGTTTCACATTCTCAACATTTAAACTTGAGAGCTCTAATTAAGCATGGGAAGAATCTGATCCATTTCACAACACAATCAACTTTTTAGCAATCAGGTACAGGTATAGATTCCAAGGAAACGGTCACATCTTTTAATCTGCATCCTAAGTTGGTGCCATAAAACTTAGACACTTTAAGTTTTGTTTGGGTAGTTAAGTAAAAACAAGTCTGAATTTGGATAAATAGAGGGAATGGAGGCATTGTTTGATTGGTTATTTGGAATAGCTGAGTTAGTAGAAGTGATGGTAAGAATTTGACTGCACTATAGGCACATGAAAGAATGGATGTGAGATGCGTGGTGGTTTGAGGACAGTTTCTGCAAGGGAATATAGGGAATGGAACCACCCCCTTTCCACTACACTTAGACTTAACTGGTGGGCAATGGCTCATGACTTAGGCTCCAAGTTATTCAAGTTGTTGCTTCTAAATAATGCCTGAATCGAGTAATAGATCAATTTTATGTGACCCTTCCCTAGCTAATGCTTTTCGCCATTGCCCGTATATGAATTTTATTTGCTTATATGCCTTGTTTTGCTGCATATGTTTTAGTAGGTACTGAGGCACTTCACTTATTGCTGCTTATCCACCCAGTTTGAGCTGATTTTTTCCAGTCCTTTGTGATAAGCTAACACCATAAATTAAGCTACTAGACTTCCGATACGCTTTGAACCAACTCAATGTAGTTTATCCTGCCTTTGATCACTACCATCTTTCATTTGGAAATTCATTTCTGCTTTTAGTCTTTCTTAATGTGCATTCTACCTCTACTAATGGATTTGGGACTTTGTTATGTGTTTCTTTGGGTGGGATATTTGCAGGATGAATTGGAGATCATTGGTCGAGTCTTAGGTCAGAAAGGAGGTTATTCTGGAACAAGTGTACTTGTGAAAAATAAAGCTACTGGGGAGCTCATTGCTGAGGGGCGGCATTCACTATTTGGTAAACATGCTAGTAAAATGTGATGAAGTATTTTTCTGGACCAAGATGCCTCTATGAAGATGCGGTTCAGTTTCTACTACCTGGTCCATATGTTTTCTTCTTAGATCAGTAAATGGTAGTACATAGTAGTATTTTTGTTGCTGCGTTAACGTGTATTCAGCAGCATTATGCCTGTGAGGAACAAGTGCGATGTAAATAGTTGCTTGTTAGTCGAGATGGTTACAAGATTTTCATTTGGTGCCGAGTAGCCATTGATTTGCTATAACTACGCTGATAATGGGTGTATTCAAAGACAAAAAGTTTGTGATTGAGGCATAATACAACTTCTTCATAGCTATATGCAAAACCTACACAACAGATACAAATAACAGGAAAACCATTATCTTTTAACCTGTCACAAAACTGATGAATGTTTACCGCCACCAGCAGATAAAAATCAGTTAATTGAAATGGATGACTTGAGAAAAATATTTTTATTGGTTCTCGGCATACCATAGAATCAAGGTCAATTCCCCATATGTTATCAGATGAAGTCAATCTTATACTTACTTCAGCAGATTAGATTACAGATAACATAATATATACAAACCATATACCAGTTATTCTAAGTATCTAGGGGGGTCCATGGGGCACGTGAACCCATGCTTCCCGCCATCATGTATAGTAATGTTATAATTTTTCAAAAATATTTAAATATATGTGTGCGCACATATGCTTAAAGTATTATATGATGTGATGGTTACTAAATGTACCTCTCTAGGTGAGTCAATCTTGTTGTTTTTTTCTTCTTTTTTCTAGAAATAACGCCCACGGGAGATGGGCGTGTCAGTGTTATTTTTTGCGTATTAATTTAGTACTTTTTCTTTTTATTTCTTTTTTTGTTTGGTTTATTCTTTCAAAATTTTCACATATTGAAATTCTTATTCTTCTTTTATCGCTGTAAAATCTTATATGATTAAATAATATGTGTATATTAAAAGTAGTAGCAGTGTATGATGTAGTATATAGTCAATGGATTCCAGAGGTGGATGTAGCTTAGTGGCTACAGGTTCAACTGAACCCATAACTTTCGACGCGGAGTAAAAATTTGTATGTAAAAATTCATTAAAATTGCAAAAATAGTAGATATGAACCCATAACTTTAAAAATATAATGGGTTCAATGTTAAAAATCTTAAAATTGAACCCATAAAATTTAAATTATGGATCCGCCTCTGAATTGGATTCAATTAATCTCAATATTTTCAACATGAAAAATAGATATAAATGTAAGAAAATTACTTTTCTAAAAAAATGAAATTATAATTCTAAAAGTGCAATGGGTACCCAATAGTAAGAAACCGTAAAATTTATATATTCTAAATCCATGTGTTCTTAATAGTGCACCCCAAAATAGTGGATCCGCCTATCTCTACCAGTTATGCAAGCTGAAAGAGTAAGTCTGAGAAATGCTTGCTTAGTTACAATCACTCGGTCTTTGCAACAAACAAATAAAAAGTTGCAAATTAAAATGAGAAAGATATTACTTGTCCTTATTAAGTGGTAAATGTGTTTGTATAAACATTCGTATTTGACATTCATGTATTCATGTGTTTTGTTATGAGCAAGCGAACAGTTTTTGTCCATGATGTTGTTGGAAGAGTCAACTCATCTAATATTTGTTTTAAAATGTAAAGAAAGAAAAAGTGACCTCAAAACCAGTTGACCAAGTTCTGTGTTTGCATATATTTCTCTTCTTCATCAACATTTCATAACGCCAAGAAGAGAGAAGCAAATGGATAAAGCGAAAGCTTTTCTTGAACCAACCCAAGTAGAATCGGACCGGGTTTCATCACTTGCATTTCCTCCTCACCGATTCGGGGCCGAGTTTAGCTTCTATCAGTATTATGCGCTCAGAGGCATCCGAGTTGATCGAGTTGAACCGGGTCAAGTCTTTTGCTCCTTCAAAGTTCCTCCTCGCCTCACTGTATGACTATCCCCCAATTTACCCTTTCTTCCCCAGCATGTGTTGTGTGCTTCACATTTTCCAAATATTAAATATGATTAATGGATGTATTATTTTAGTGATATTTTAAGAAAATACTCAAGTGATGGTTGAAAAGTTAGTTTGATAAAGCTTTATATCAATGTTTAAAGTTTGTATAGCTTAACAAATCAGAATTCTTGAATGTTGTGTCTTGTGATAATTGTATAGGAATATATGCTATTTATCACAAGTAATGGTTGAAGAGATTAGTAGAGTAGTACTAGTTGATTTGAAGATTGAAGCAATTATGGAAAAGTTGGTTTGATAAACAAGCATTTGGTCAAAATTTAAAATTTGAATTCTTGAATGTCTTGATAATTATGACATGTATAAAGGTGTCAAACATCTTAGTATATTCAAAAAATGGTGAGAGTATCATATAAATTGAGTGCAAGCTGGCTCGGACACTACCCTTGTTAGAAAGATTTTCATATAAATTGGGATGGAGTAAGTATTTTATTATCTGTTTGTGATATATGCACATATTTTGCCTTTTCCAATTCTATGCAGATGAAGGGTTTTGAAATTAAATTGACTGTTTTCTTCTTTCTTTTTGAATGCATTGTTGCTCGGAAATTGAAGTTTCTTTGATGTAAAATTTATAGGATAGAGAAGGAAAACTAGCATCTGGAGCCATTGCCAATCTAGTTGACGAAGTCGGGGGTGCAGTAATCTATGTGGAGGGTCTCCCGATGAATGTATCAGTGGATATGTCGATTTCATTTCTTTCAAGTGCGAAGGCAGATGTAAGCCCTCCTCATTCTTTCTACTATTCAAGGATTTCATTATGGGTTCATGAATTTTGTGAAAATATTCATATGCACCTTTTAGTATGATCATGTTGTACTTCAGAGTTAACATGGAAAGAAAGACTAATTAGAGGAAATTTCTGAAGAAAGACTTGAAACACCTAAAGAGGAAGATAGATTAGCTCCATATTCGCAAGTCGTGCGAATAACAAAAGCTATGAACTGTATACCCATGACATTAACAAACTAGTTGATTAGGTTCCTCTCTTACATATTCGGGCAACCAGTCCAAATATAGATAATAATAATACTTCATTGGAACAATCATCGACTTTTCTATCATTTACAAACCATTTCCTAAATGATGGTTCTGGGTGCATTCTAATGAGTATAGTTGGGCAAAACAACCACGAAGCACTTCTGCAGCACTTTTAGCATATTTTTCCTGGTCAGCTGTAGCTAATTCTGTCTTATCAGTTTGTCCCATCAGCGTGATGAATTTGCTCTCTTTAAGAAAAAGAGACACTATGAGGTATGCAGATCTATAGATGAAATATAGATCAATCCAATTGTCACGATCCGAAATCCCCAACCGCGTGGTCATGATGGCGCCTAACGTCCACTTGCTAGGCAAGCCAACATTAGTACACAACTAGTCATTTTTAGACAATTGATTAAGGCTAATACTCAAAACGGCCTATCGGCTCGTCACACCAATACATCCTCAAGACCAGGTCACATCCACAGACTTTATGGCTAGAAAGAAATAAAGCATGCTTCGAGGGGAAGAGGCTGCAGATTACTAGAGTGAAAAACAAATGCATTAAGCATTTGTACTTCTGGTGTTATAGCAGTTCTTTAGATAAGGACCAGTATTTGGATTTTTTGCATTTGTTAGGAGAAAATATGTAGTATGAATGAAGTAATTAAGAGCTGTAGCCTGGTCTTGTACTTTCTTTATGTACCATCTTGGTACCAGTTTTAACAAAATCTTTACTTATCAAAAAAAAAGGACCAGGTCACATCCATTAGCTTCAACCTTTCTTAAGTAGAAAAGAACTCTTCTCCTTTCAGAATATTCCTACTACAGTCAAAAACTGAGGACTCAGTCAAGAGAATACTTCTGGTAATGATCGTGGGTAGTGAGATGCATGCTGGTAACGGTATATTGGTATGAGGAATACTCCGGAATGGTTCCTACAAGGCTATATTGGGGACATAGAACCACCACCTTTCCAGTAGACACTGAGGGTTGAGTGATTGGCAACGGCTCATGAGTTGGCTGTAAGTTAATCAAGTTGTTGCCCTCTAAATAATGCTTTGGCTGTAAGTTAATCAAGTTGTTGCCCTCTAAATAATGCTTCGATTGAGTAACTAGGTCATCTTTATGGGGCCCTTCCCTGGCTAGTATTTTTCAGCATTGCCTACCATATATGGATTTTATTTGTATGTATGCCCAGTTTTTGCTGCATACGGAACATGTAGGAATACACTCTCTATTTTACCTTTATGTACGTATTTCAAGCCTTAAAACAGGCCCATATTTGGTGTTGATTGCAGTAGAGCAGCATACAGCAAGCCCCCTCTAACTTCCAGTTTTATTTCCAAGACTGTTTTCGTGCGTAAGAGAATAGTGCACTCAACTTTGGGTAGTAGAATTTATATTTAAAAGACACAGGCTTTTGAAAGTCATACTTACTTGCTTCTCCAGTACAAGTCTCCAATCAGATAGTAGCTACAGATGCACTTCACTTATTGGTGCTTATCCAATTTTTCTCACATCTTTCTTTCTGCTAAGCTAATAGTACTAGCATGTAATAAGCTGCCAGACTTCCACTATTTTGCCTCATGTCTCGTATTTTACCCTTATCTCTTCATCAGAGAAGTTAAGTTAGTTAGGGATTGAACCAACTCAATGTGGTCTATCCTGCCTTTGATCACTCCCATCTTTCATTTGGAAAATTAATTCTGCTTATCGTCTTTCTTAATGTGCATTCAACCTCTACTATTGGGTTAATTATGGACTTTCTTACATGTCTTTGCATGGGATATTTGCAGGATGAGCTGGAGATCGTTGGTCGAGTCTTGGGTCAGAAAGGAGGTTATTCTGGGACAAGTGTACTTTTGAAAAATAAAACTACTGGGGAGCTCATTGCTGAGGGGCGCCATTCGTTATTTGGTAAACATGCCAGTAAAATATGATGAAGTATTTCTATGGACCAAGATGCCTCCTTGAATACGTAGTTCAGTTTCCACTACCTTGTCCATATGTATGTTTTCTTGTTTTAAATCAATAAATGGTGCATAGCTTTTTCTTGCCATGAATGTATGGAGCAGCATCATGCCTGAGGAACAAGTGCCATGTAAATATTGATTACAAGATTTTCATTTAGCAAAGATGTGGAGTTGAATTCTACAGTATAAATTGATTCCAATTTGTGAATGTTGTTTCTAACAGAAAAGTCCATTCTTTCTGCCCCCTTCCCCCCTTGGCAAAACAAAATTCATTTTGGCTATCTCCTCTCTATTTTGGTAGGATAAGAGCATGAAAGAAAGGGAGGATAGAAAGAGTAAAAACTTACGAATATCTCTTGCTTTCGATCACCTTGTTTAAAGAAAGAACAAAGGGGTCTACTTGTATTGTAAACTGACTTTTTTTTTTCTTTTTGCTCAATAAAAAAGATTTGGGTTTTACTGAGTAACAGCTGTTGGTACAGTTTAGGGTAACTATCTTTCTGTATAATGGATGTATCACCCTCAAGTTAGTCGCTGCTTTTGTTTATTCCATACATATAAACTTATACTTTGCTTTAGATATAGGCAAGAATGGGTTGCTAACTTCCAACCAAGAGGTTGTGAGTTCGAGTCACCCCAAGAGCAAGGTGGGGAGTTTTTGGAGGGAGGGACACACTATTCTCCTCAGGCCCCATTAGTGAAATTATACTGGATTGTTGTTGTATTCTTTGGTAATTGGTTCATAGTGCAACTACTTTTTATCACTATCCAAACAATCCTTTGCAACTAGGATAATATTAATTGCTCTCTTGTCAAGAATAAGTTGGTGGTTCTGGAAAGTAACTGGAAATGAAAAACGAGCTCTTGTCAAGGATAAATTACAAGTTACCACTAAGAAGAACGCTCACCTAAACCATATAATTGGGGCCAATGGGCTATATGCAATACCTGTACACCAACCTTCTTCAAGGCTATGTGCAAAACCTATACAAAACCACTAGTTCAACGCTCAAATATTATGGCACAATAGGGGCTGATATTCAGTATTAGCTACGGTTCAGCCGGACCAATAGTTATGTTTTGACTCTATATGTATTAAGAAATCTACTAGTTATGTATAAATATTAAATTTCGAACCAAGTAACTTAAACGGTAGGTTCAGTGGCAATACCGAACTCATAAAGTTCAAATTCCACATTTGATGCAAACAGATGACACAAATATTTTAACTTATGACAAACTGATGAAATGTATTACTACCACCAACAGATAAAAGCCAGTAAACGTACTGGATAAATTGGGGGAAATATTTGTATTGGTTCTAGTCATACCAGACTGCCAGGTTCAATATGCCATATATATTATACATCAGATACACAGTAACATTACAAAATACTAGAAACCATATATAATGTTAGGATCGGGAACTCGGGTAGTGCGGAATTTAGCCAAACAACGGTATAATGACAATAACAAAGACAATGGAAGTTGATAACAATGGCAATTAAAGCATATAAAGAAGACATAAATTTAACGTGATTCGGTCAAAGTGACCTACGTCCACAAGCGGAGAGGAACAATTTCACTATATCAACAAGAGTACAAACGAGAGTACAAAATTAGAATAAACACTCTAATTAATCCCAAATACCCTAAGAGAATAACCTCACAAGATTACTCCAAAGAAAGGGTTCACACAAATGCTTTCCAACACTAACTTTCATACAAAACACTCGTAATAAAGGAGGAAAGGAAGAAGCAAGAAACGAAGACTCAAGTCTTGTTGGTGTGTCTAAAATGAACTAATGGCCCTCCCTTTTATAGGCAAAAAAGTCTTGGCCTCTTAGGTGTAAAAGAAGAAATACAACTTGTGCAAATGATGTCCAACACACAATGCAATATTTTTGGGTTGCAAAGAATATTGCCAACAAAGTCTACACTTTGCAAAGATGCTTATACTTATGTAAGATGGATTCCATTAGCCAAAATATTGGCCATAATTACATATAATACTTATATAGATCCCTTACCTACTGTTGCGACTTGCCAGTCATGCAAGTTGGATAGCAGGTAATATGAATTTTTATTTTTTTTTTGAAAATATAATGGTGTAATTCCCGCAATTTCATCAGATACACAAGCTATAAAGAATTGGCGGGATCCGAAGGGTCAACTCATCTAAAATTGTATTCGGTCCGGCTTTGCGTTTACCTAGATTTCTCTTGTTGAAATTACGTAACATTTTATATCATCTTCTCCATTTCTTTACGTAAGGACTAAGGAGCTTGTCTAAATCCACTATATCAAGAACCAGCTGGAATATATATACACACTTGTAGAATTGAGGGGAAAACAAAAATTCTACAATAGAGCAAGCTGTAAGTGGAAGCAAAAGCTTTCCTTCAACTAACCCAAGAAGAAACGGACCGGGTTTCATCACTTGCATTTCCTCCTCACCGAGTTTAGCTTCTATAACTGTTATGCGGTCAGAGGAATCTGAGTTGACCGCGTTGAACCCGGTCTAGTCTTTTAATTTGCACCTTTAAAGTTCCTCCTCGCCTCACTGTATGGCATTCTCCGGTTTGCACTTTCTTCTAGTGTATCGAGTTTACAGTATTTCACTGAACACGGAGCTTAAAATGCTAAATTTGACATCTATATGATGTTATTAGTAAGAGTAGAAAAGAATATTAAAGTGATGATTGAAAAGTTAGTTTGATAGCAATGCATCAAGAAGTTTAAAAGTTGGAATAATCATATAGAAATATATTGGTGTCAAACATCTTATCACGCTCTAAAAGGGAAAGATTGTCATATAAAATGGGACGGAGCAAGTATGTGTGTTTATGCATGTATTTTGCCCGAATCGATTGTATACAGACTGTATGTTTTGAAATTGACCCTATTTCCTATTTTGTTAATTACTTGATTATTGCTTGGAAATTAAAGTCTGTTTGTGCTTAAATTTGTAGGATAGAGAAGGGAAATTAGCCCCTGGCGCCATAGCCGGTCTTGTTGACGATGTTGGGGCTGCAGCAGTCTTTGTGCAGGGTCTCCCAATGAATGTATCAGTAGACATGTCTATTTCATTTCTTTCAAGTGTGAAGGCAGATGTAAGCCCTCCTCATTCTTCCCATTTCCTCATTATTGGTTCATGAATTTTGTGAAAATTAAATATTCATGTCATCACTATTTTATGTATGTATTTGAAGCCTCCATCTAGGTGCATTTTTGTTGTTAGATTACAGAAGATCTCAATGCAGCAAGCATCCTCCACCTTCCATTTTCTTACTAAAATTGTGGCCCTTTTGTAAATGAAACTTTGGGTAGTAGAATCTGTATTTAAAGAACACAGGCTATTGATAAAATTGTGATTAAGTTACTTGCGTCGAGTCTCCAATTAGTTACTATATATAACGAGTAATGGGCTTGACTTATTGCTGCTTATCCACCCAACCTAAGTTGTTTTTCTCCCATCTTTCTTTCTAATATATCAATATCGTGAATTTAGCTACTATACTTCCTGTATGTTGCTTCAAATCTCATATTTTCCATTTATCTCTTCATCATAGCAGTTCAGTAAGTTAGGCTATGAATCAACTCGATGTAGTTTATCCTGAAAACTTCCCTTTGCTCACTCCCATATTTCATTTGGAAAATTCTTTCTGATTTTTATCTTTCTTCATTGCATTCCCCTTTTACTGATGGATTATGGGCTCTGTTATATATATATAGAGAGAGAGATATAGATAGATAGATATACAGTTAAATCTCTTTATAACATCCTCATTTATTCTGGATTTTTTTTGGCTATTATATTAAAGTGTTATAAAGAACATATATTATAACATACCATAAAAATTGGTTTCATAAAAACTTATCTTTTATAGTGAATGATTATTGTTATAAAGCGATATTGTTATAAAGAGGTCTGACTGTTGGGAAAATAAACCCTCACAGAAATAATATTCACGGTATACGACTATAATAAATGCGGATTATTAAAATACTGTAACCAACGGTAATAATAAGAGAAACAATGACACCGAAATTTTTACGTGGAAACCCCTTCTGAATAAGGAAAAAACCACGGCCCAAGAGGAGCAACTGATTTCACTATAGCGAGGATTTTATAATTTTTGGTACCGAGTAAAATACTCCAAAATCACTAAACACTCAAAAGAAATAACTCTCTTTTGATTTTTCCACCTCACTACAATATCGCTCAAACTCTCTATATTTTTCCTCACAGAGTATTTTGCTTCTTACTCTGTAAATCACTCTCTTTCTCTTTGTTTTGGTGTGATTACAAATGAAGGTAAAGGCACCTATTTATAGTTGAAGAATGCCCATATTGATGTATGCAATGACATCAATATTCACTTCAAAAGCTAGTTGCCCAAATTGAACTTCTAAATTGGTTGGCTTGACAAAACAAAAAAAGAAGATTCATTAACTTTCACATGAGCCATGGGATGGATCCAATAATTACTACCTCCTTTGTTGATAATGCGTGCCTTCTGGTTTGGAATGAAACTGGTTCAAATAAAACAGAAGAAATAGAGGATTCATATAGTTGATATATGGATATAGATATATAGACAGTTGACCGGAAGATTTTGGAGAAAAAACAATATTCCATTGGTGATCTCATCTCTTTATATAGTATGGTAGGATGAAGAGGATGAAAGAATGAGGGGAATTAATATACTGCGAACAATTATGAATATTTCTTGAATTATGTCATGTAATTTAAAGAAATAGAAGGGGGATCAACTTGCATTGTCACCTACCTTCCGTTTTTCTTTCTTTTTGCTCAACGAAAAGACTAGTTTTTATAAGGATATCGAAAGGGTGACCGCACCTTCAAACATTCTGGCGTCCACTGGCTGGACGTGACATGTACTACTAAAATAACGCCTCCATTCAAAAATTTGAGTTTCGATTATATAAATATCCTTACCAACCATGTTACCCTGGGAATATTGCAGTAGAAACCCTTCAAAATTTATTGAACATAGTCTAATTACATGTAGAATTCCAGTCTCCATCTTTTTGCAGAGCACTGTTCTGTTCATCCAAATGGCATATCGACCTGCAAGCCCGTTCTATCTTGGACAGTTGGACTTCCCATCAATGGCAAAGCAAAAGCAGAGGGGTGACAGTCTGCATTTAGCTCGTTCAAGCACCACTTCTATTCCACAAACA